GCTGCTTATTGAAGACAAGGTCATCTCCTACAATGCGTGTGCTGCTCAGATGTTCTTTTTTACATTCTTGGGTACTGCGGAATGTTACCTCTTGGCTTTAATGGCCTATGACCGCTACGCAGCAGTGTGTAAACCCCTCCATTATACCACCATGATGACGACAAGTGTGTGTGCTCGTCTGGCCATAGGCTGTTACGTCATTGGTTTTCTGAATGCTTCCATCCAAACTGGAGACACCTTCTGCCTCTCTTTCTGTGAGTCCAACGTGATCCATCACTTTTTCTGTGATATTCCAGCAGTCATGACTCTGACTTGCTCTGGAAAGCACATTAGTGAGCTGATTCTTGTTCTTATTTCAAGCTTTAATGTCTTTTTTGCACTTTTTGTTATCTTGATATCCTACCTGCTCATATTTATCACCATCTTGAAGATGCACTCAGCTGAGGGATATCAGAAGGCTTTATCTACCTGTGGCTCTCACCTCATTGCCGTTTCCTTATTCTATGGAACTGTTATCATCATGTACTTACAGCCCGGCTCCAGTCACTCCATGGACACAGACAAAATTGCATCTGTGTTCTATACTATGGTTATCCCCATGCTGAACCCTATGGTCTATAGCTTGAGAAACAAGGAGGTCAACAGTGCGTTCAAGAAGGTTGTAAAGAAGGCAAAACGTTCTCTAGGTTTACTCTTCTAATGATGTCAAATCCACAAAAAGTTATTTCATCCCTCTTAGATCTGCTCTGTGCAATAACCTCATGTAAAACAAAACATTTTGTATAATTTTATTTAGTTAGTTGAGGTATATGTCTAAGTATCTCCAAATTAGAGAACAATGATAATCATTTTTAATGAAGTTTAATAAAATATTTGCTTTTTGTTTTCACATTTTATCCAGATATAATTTCTGCACTTTAGTAAATTAATGTTTCAATCTTTACCACGTTATTTTATTCAAGAAATCTTGCTCATGGGACAATTTACAAATAGTAAATAGCTATATAAGAATTAAAAGGTAGAGATGATTAACTCATTTTTTAACTTAACCTTATAACTATCAAAGAGATCCAGATTGGAAAGGAAATAATAAAACTACTCTATTTGCAGATGGCATGCTCTTTAATATATAAAATCATAAGCAATAACTGAAAATTATTAGAACACATAAATGAGTTCAGCAAAGTTTAAGATATAAGATCAATATACGAAAAGCCGTGGTATTTGTATATACCAGAAATAAATCATCTGAAAATAAAATTAAGAGATTCCATGTACAAAATTATCAAAAATAATAAGATACATAGGGAAAAAATAACAAAAGAAATTCAGCGCTTAACTCTTAAAACTACAAAACATAGTTGAAATTCATGAAAGAAAATCTAAGTAAGAAAAGACATTCCTTGTTCATGGATCAATGTTGGAAAGCCAACAGTACTCTCTAAATGACCTGCAGATTCAATTCCCTCCCTGTCAAATCACAGCTGGCTGTTTTGCTGATATTGGTAAGTCTATTCCAAAATTCAGGAGAAAATTCATGAGACAAAGAATACCCAAAATAATATTTTAAAAGAAGAGCAAAGTTGGAGTACTCTTACTGCAATTTCAATACTTACTACATATGCTACAGTAATCAAGATAGTATGGTATTTCCTAAGTATAATTCCTCCAAGTTCATCTATGCTGTCGCAAATTACACAATTTTCCCTTTTTTAAGGCTGTACAGTATTCTGTTGTGTATGTATACCACATTTTCTTTATCTATTCACCTCATGATGGACACCTAGGCTGCCTCCATATCTTGGCTATTGTGAGTAGTGCTGCAATGAACATTACACTGCAGTTATGTCGATGTGGTGTTGTGTGACCCAGAAGAAACAAGACCATCTCAGCCAGCAGCCAGGTGCAGGGAGGAGATTTCAACCTATGTTAGAGCATGCACTGCCACAGTGATCCTCTGGTCAACGTCAGCTTTGTGCGGGCTGTATATGAGAATAGTGTCTTCATGTCCACTGAGGGCAGCAGCCAAGTTCAGACCCTCTGGTCCTTCCCAGACACTGTCTACCAGATGCTGGTCCAGAGATAGAAGACCTTAAATGTTAAGAAAGTGGACCACTGCACTCCCTACCTGGGGTATGTAGCTTTTGTACATCCTGGAAAAAAGAGATAGAAAGGCCACTTGCAAACATTCCTACCCC